ATGAGTCTTACAAAGAGAATGCAAAAACAGTATTGATGTCAAATGGAAAATATTCCAAGCACATACAAAGGAGTAGACACAATTTAGTTACTAGCATGGAGGCGATTTCCTTTTAGTTGCTGTTGTACTTGGTGTTGAGTTTAGTGGTGGATTGATCCAACGGCTGCTCCCTGCTGGTGCTATACCTCTTGATGTTTATAAGATTAGCAATTGGTTGGAATTCACATGGAAATTGTAGGTCTCTCAAACCTCACTAAAAAAAATACCATATAAACATGGTTATATGGCGAGTTTTTTTTTTCAGTAGCTTTGGATTTGTTTAGTTTGAGGAATGTTGCTAGAGCAGAAGACTGTCTTAGTAAAGGAAAGAAGCTTGATGATAAAGAATCGTATGTTGGAAATACCCAGAAAAAATGAGACGGAGCAGGAGCTGAAACAAAGGTTTGAATCATGATAGTACTTCTACACCACTACAATGTGTTACGTTTAGAGTCAGGGATATTTTTGTCCAACTATATATGTATCTCGTTTGAGACAGTTTATATCAAATCTTAGTTTGACCATGTTCCACAAAAGTCTGTATTTACTAGAAAAGTCAAACATGGAACTAGAAAGATGTCTTTTGAGTCTTCTGTTATTCAGCTTATTTGTTTGTAGCATTTATGTACCACCTGACCTGCAATAAGACATACATGGTTCTGAAGATAGGAAGGAAGGCATGTTTAATTAGGTCTGTTATCGACCCTGTTGGTTGACTTGTTTTCTTAAAAACATGTGGATGGACTTTCCAAAAGAGGAATCAAAGAAGATGGGCCTAAAATGGTATCGTGGGGTCTGTTTCCATTAGGGAATTCACCATTACAAGTAATGTGTTTTCTTATAAAAAGTTCTCAAAAACATTGAAAAAGATGTTTGATTTTATAATTGTGAGTTTTCAACATTTCAATTATGTGGTCAACCAATCTGACATCCCTACCATATCATTATTTCTGTGAGGAGATGCTTGGAAGATTGACCTTTGAAGGAGAGGAAAGAAATCTATGTCAAAAAAATATAGAAAAATCATGGACTAAAATCAAGTTCAGATGATAATATGTATAATTGTATAGATAATCTTGTGTTTTTAGGGGTTTTAAGTTGATAAAAAGTGGCTATCCGTAGGAAATATTACTAAATCTGCCTTATTAGAATTTTTTTTACCATTGCTTTTAATTTCTAAAATAGGTATGAGTAGGTAAGGTATATGAAGTTCATAGGTTTTTGTTTTGTTTGACATAAAACCCAATAATTAAATAATGGTATAACATAGTAAAATACACATAGAAGATACTAAAAGATAGATATTATAAAATTTATATATGTGATGACATTTAACAGGGTATTATACACATTTCTTGGTTTTTCCATATAAAAGATAGTAAATTAGATGATAGTCCTATTGCGTTTGCTTCATCTCAAGGTGTTGCCATTTAGATATATGATCTCTTAGTATTTGATGTTACTTGTATTCTTTTTATCCCTTTAATTTCAAAACAAAAACTCATTTTTACACGACGATAAAAAAAATGTAAAAGCCCTTGATGTTGCGTAATCAATTCCTCCGGTTGATGATTCTAACCAAATGGAAGTACACACACGTTTACAAACTCAAGGAAGTTGGAAGATAATTTTAAGAAGAGGCTACAAAGAATTGAGTATTTAGGAAGCCTTGCATCAACTATAGTGATGAGTTCTATAACAGTGGTGAAGATTCACTATAGTCTTGTATTGGATATTTAATGGGAGTAGTGGTTTTGTGACCCCCCGGGAACGACATAGCTCTACCACAGATCTCATATGGTGAAGATTCACTGTAGTCTTGTATTGGGCATCTAAGTTTCTAGCCCGAATAATAATGTATTATCATTTTCTGAACCAAGAGGCGATTCGTGAGCACGGGCCTCAAAATTTTCTATTATATATATATATATATATATATATATATATATATATATATATATATATATATATATATATATATATATAGGAAGGATCATTTGAGAACCTATACTTTCCAGAGAACCCGAGAACCAAACAAGGACCGTTAGATCAAAATAATAGAGGGTCAAGATGATTTGTGACATTTTTGTAAAAACTTGGAAATAAAAAACACGGTGGTATCTTATTTCAATTTGTTAGAGGGAATTTTAGGGATAGAAAACTTATACCTGATCCTGTCAAACCCTTTCCTTATACTATTTCTCTATGTTCGTCATCAAATCTCTCTCCCTCTCACGTTCTTCATTGACGATAAAGACGACTGCCTCCTCGATCATCCGTCGTCGATCGCCTCCCTCCTACCTTCACCAGCCACCTCTACCTCTGTTGACCACCACACTCCTTGATCTCACGTTCTTCATAGAAAAATTTCCACTGAAGATGCTTTGATTTTGAATCGTTTTATCCTCCATCAATTCGTTCCCCGGAGTACACCATAATCGCCGACTTCATCTCGGCCTCCTCTGTGGATTGAAGACCTGAACGGAGAAGAAGATCCTTTGTCGATCAAGAACTCAAAGTGCAAACAATATGAAAAGTGCATCTGGTCTCGATCGCTATACTTATGCCTGAAGCACTTGACCTTAGCCTATCAGACTATCCCTAACTCTCGATATCGGTCTCAATTTTCCTCCACTAGAAGTTGCCTAAACAAAGGTTTTTATTTTTCTGCATTTCTTCGGTTTTTAGATCAGATGTCACTTTTGCTTTTCTGCATTACCAAAATTAAGTTGACAATCTATATGCTTGTTCGTATTCAGATTTAGTTATCAGATTCAGTACAGTATGTGATATTGAAATTACTTAGAGTTTAGAAGTTTTCTTATTAAGAAGAACATTTTCGTGAAAATATAAAACTCTAGTGCTCTTTTCCTTCATGTGTTGCCTTATGAATATTGTTGTTCTCTTTAACATGGACCTTTCTGGTGAAAATATAGTCAATTTGTATTCAAAGTGTCAGGTTTTCTGAAGTGCACACAAGGTGCTCGATGAAAGTCCTGAACCAGATTTAGTTCATTTGCTTTAATTTTAAGGTAGATTGGCTTAATGTAAGTATACAACTTTGCATTCCTTTGATCACTTCTAATAATCCATGATATTTTCTTAGGCTTTTACCGGAGTTCTATTTGTAGTTAACCTTGTTTGTATATGAGATTCTATGAACATACTTAGTGGTGACTCCAAGAAGATCAACCCATTGGTAACTAATATTCTAATTATCCCATTGACATATTTTTTTAAAGCATCAATAGCTTTTAATTATTTCATATCTTCGTATTTCCCAGGTGCCAGTAGACCTTGTGATTGACCATTCAGTTCAAGTTGATGTTGATAGGTTTTATACAAACAATCCTATGTGTGCATACAACCCTAATTGGATCTATGTTTTCACTATAAGACATACAACTACATGAACACAAAATAAACCCTGGCATGCTTCTATTATTTTCGAAAAAACATATAGAAGTGTAGTAGACATACCTTTGTTGTTATATTGGAATAACAACTAGTTTCCTTGATCTCTTGAACTCTTGAAAGCAAGCACCACAATTGTAGTGCCTCTAATGGCTTACAAACACCTTGAAGCAAGAAGGCAATTAAGAGAGAGAGGGGAAGGATGCTAATTTCGGCCTTAGGGTTTCCCTTGGAATCAAGTAGCCTAAAATTGAAGCATAGGGCATCTATTTATACTGTAGGGTGCTAGGGTTTCAGTCTAAACCCTAATGGATAGCTTAGCCACCAAGCAGCCCAAGGAACCTTCTGGAATGAGGCCCTTGGACGAAAATATGATGATCCCTCATCATAATTTCGTTCCCCCTTAGTCCATTAGGTTTCCCAGCCCAAAAACCAACTATCACACATTTGACAGTTATACCCCTTTATTTAATTAATCTCTTTTAGTCACCAAATTAATTCCTAATTAATTTATGACTAATACTAATTAAATAAATATGATTTCTCCTTTAATATATTATTCTTATAATATATTAATAAACCATAATATCTTCTCTCTCATATCAAATTACCTTGTCAAGTTGCTTTGGTGAAGGCAACCCAAAAGGACCATGCACACTCGGGTCAAGTACATACCAAATATAGTTACGGACTTAGACACTAATCCAACAGTCTCCCACTTGGATAAGTCTAGTAACTACATCTCACATATGACTTCCGTATACGATTAGCAATCGTAGCTTTCAATAGCCGCTGTCAACTCTGACCAATAATCTGTCCTTCAGATAAGGGATCGTATAATCCTCTGTTCTAGATATCATGCTAACAATACTTATTGTTTAGCATTTTATTTCTTGATCTCTGATTTGTTCGACATAGAACTCAGTTGAACACATCAACTTCATCCTGACCGGGCCCGGCACATAAGTCAAACCAAATCATCAAGTGGCCAAGATATCGCTTTTATTCTCATAGAATAAAAGGAACAGAAAAAACGTCGACTAATATGCCTTTATCATTTACTAGTTAAACCACACACAATAATGCGTTTTATAACATCAAGTTACTGATGCGTTTTCGCATTATCAATGTATAATCAACCAGCAAACAATAACCATATCTCTAGGTTTAAAGATTATATGATATTATCATCTTGCGATCACTTGTGATAACATTCATGAAGTGATACCAGCAAGTGTGGGTCTATTCCAATGCTCAATACAAATTTCATAAGCACTCATAAACTTTGCAGCAAACCTTTGCTATGTCTAAAACTTTTCAGACAATCTACAAACAAATTTATGACAATCTTCCTTTATATCTACTTCCAACATATGAACGATTGTGGACTGTTCGAATAATCTTATTATTCAGGAAGTCAAAACATGCAAAATTGAAACAATAGATAAATAATCAACACAAGATAGAAGCTTTCTTATAAATAACACACCTTTATTTAATCATCAAATGTTGAATACATGATCATCCATTACAAGTTTCCTACCTATCTAATCTAAACTAATATCGTCCTTCAGCCCTACGCTCCTAGCGTGCTGCAAATGCTTAACCCTACTCAGTCCCTTCGTGAGGGGATCTGCTGGGTTATCTTCTGACGATACCCTCTTCACAACGAGGAGTCCCTCTTCTACTCGATGTCTAATAAAATGGTATTTCCTGTCGATATGACGAGATCTGCCATGATCCCTTGGTTCCTTGGTTAAGGCAACCGCTCCTTCATTATCACAGAAAATTTCCATGGGATTTTTTATGGATGGCACAACTACAAGGTCTCCAATGAAGTTCTTCAACCATATAGCCTCCTTTGACGCCTCGCTCGCCGCAATGTACTCTGATTCGCACGTTGAATCAGCTACGGTTTCTTGCTTGGAACTTTTCCAAGTCACTGCTCCTCCATTCAAGGTAAAGACCCAGCCCGACTGCGATCGGTAATTATCCCGATCTGTCTGGAAACTAGCGTCACTGTACCCTCGCACCCTTAAGTCATCACTCCCACCCAGGACTAGAAACCATTCCTTAGTCCTTCGTAGGTACTTAAGAATATTCTTGACAGCAATCCAATGTGCCCTACCAGGATTCCCTTGATATCTGCTGACCATGCTCAAAGCGAAAGCCACATCAGGGCGAGTACAGGTCATAGCGTACATAATTGAGCCAACTGCGGAAGCGTAAGGTACTCGGCTCATATCAGCTATTTCTGCCTCTGTACTCGCGCTCTGAGTCTTACTCAGTTTGGTATTGCATTGGATTGGTAACTCCCCTTTCTTGGAATTTTCCATACTAAAAACGTTTTAGTACCTTTCCAAGTATGTATCCTGACTGAGTCCTATCAGTCTCTTACTTCTGTCTCTCACTATCCTTATTCCCAGAATATATGCAGCCTCTCCGAGGTCCTTCATAGCGAAACACTTCCCAAGCCAGGACTTGACCTCCTGCAATGTTGGGATGTCGTTTCCTATGAGTAGTATGTCATCGACATACAATACGAGGAAGCTCACTATACTCCCACTGGCCTTGACATATACACATGACTCATCTTCATTTCGCAGAAAGCCAAACTCTTTGACCTTCTCGTCAAAACAAAGATTCCATCTGCGAGACGCTTGCTTTAATCCATAAATGGATTTCTCAAGCTTGCACACTCTATTTGGATGCTTTGCATCGACAAAACCCTCTGGCTGATTCATGTAAACATCCTCAGCCAACTTCCCATTTAGGAAAGCGGTTTTTACGTCCATCTGCCAAATTTCATAATCATGAAACGCAGCTATCGCAAGCATTACCCTAATAGACTTTATTTTCGCAACTGGTGAGAAGGTCTCATCATAGTCAACTCCAGGAGTTTGAGTAAAGCCCTTCGCGACCAATCGCGCTTTATAAGTGTGCACTTTCCCATCCATGTCTGTCTTCTTCTTGAAGATCCACTTGCACCCGACCGTCTTACGACCTGGCACATTGTCAACCAAATTCCAAACTTGGTTGTCATACATGGACTGAATCTCGCTATCCATTGCCTCTTTCCATTTAACAGACTCTGGGCCTGCCATGGCTTCCTTGTAGCTGTTAGGTTCGTCCAGATTTACTAGTGTACTATCACTAATAACGTATCCCCGTCAGTAGTAATATGGAAACCATAAAACTGGGGTGGAACAACAACTCTACTTGAACGTCTAAGAGGTAAGGACTGGTCAATAGGTTCAACAGGAGTTTCCTCCTCAGGTTGCATGTCAGTGTCAGAGGTTCCTTCTTCTCCTGACTCTTGAAGCTCTTCAAGGTCAATCTGACTCCCACTGTCTCCTTGGCTTATGAGTTCTCTTCTCTGAAAACCCCTCTCCTAGCAACAAAGACAACATTGTCATTTGGTCTATAGAAGAGATAACCAAAAGACTTCTGTGGATAGCCGATGAAAATAACACTTCTCACTACGAGGTTCTAGCTTGTCGTGAGTCTCTCGTCTTACGAAAGCTTCACAACCCCAAACCTTGATATGTGCTAACGAGGGAGCTTTCCCTGTCCACATCTCGTGAGGCGTTTTGGTAACCTTCTTGGTGGGAACTAAGTTAAGGATATGGGCGGCAGTCTCCAAGGCATACCCCAGAATGAGATTGGTAACGAAGCACGACTCATCATAGAGCGAACCATGTCCAACAAGGTTCGATTACGTCTCTCAGCCACACCATTTAATTGTGGCGTTCTAGGAGGCGTCAATTGTGAAACTATTCCACACTCTTTCAGATAGTCGTGAAACTCAAGACTTAGGTACTCTCCCCCTCGATCAGATCGAAGCATCTTGATTTTCCTGCCCAACTGATTCTCCACTTCATTCTTGAACTCTTTGAACTTTTCAAAAGTTTCTGACTTTTGCTTGATTAAGTAGATATATCCATATCTGCTATAATCGTCTGTAAAAGTCACGTAGAAGCGACAAGCGTCCCTTGTGGTGGATCTAAAGGGTCCACATACATCTGTGTGATGAGATCCAATACACCCTCACCCCTTTCACATGTGCCAGTAAAGGGTGACTTGGTCATCTTCCCAAGTAAACAAGACTCACACACGTCATCGTCCCTAAGGTCGAAAGACTCCAAGACTCCATCCTTTTGGAGTTGGGCTATGCGTTTCTTGTTCACATGGCCAAGGCGACAATGCCACAAACATGCTTTGTCCAAACTTGTGGACGAATCAATATTCAAAACATCATTTCCTAAATTATCAATAACTAACACAGATTCATAAATCCCATTACAAGGTAATGCATTGAAATAAAAGACACCATTCAAATAAGCATTAATAGAACCATTACTATTATCAAATGAATATCTGAAACCTTGTCTAAACAAACCATGAAAAGAAATGATGTTTCTTGCCATATCTGGCGAATAGGAACAATTATTTAAATCTAGCCCTAACCCATTACTCAACACTAAGGAATAAACTCCGATCTTGGTTACTGGTGAAGACTTCCTGTTTCCCATGATCAAGCTTATCCTTCCATGCTCCACTTCCCTACTTCTTTTTAGGCCCTGCATATCAGAACCAAATGTGGTAACCACACCCTGTATCAAGAACCCATGAAGTAGCAAATGATGAGTTATTAGATTTAATTAAATACATACCTGCGAAGGTGGGTTTATCTTCCCATCCTTAATATCTTGCAGATATTTAGGGCAGCTTCGTTTCCAGTGGCCCTTTTGGTGGCAATAGAAGCACTCTGCTTCCTTGGGGTCAGAAGAGGGCTTAACAGAACCTGCTTTGGTCCCACTAGAAGAAGAACCATCTTGGGTCTTACCCTTATGGTGGCTCTTGTAAGGAGCCTTCCTCTTCTTTCCCTTTCCTTGGCCAATTGCCAACACAGGAGCAGCTACAGTAGAGGATGATGCAACAGATTTGTCCTTGAGGTTGCTCTCAGCTGTCCTCAGGAGCCCTTGAAGCTTACTTAGGGTGACCTCTTCCTTATTCATGTGGTAGGTCATTCTGAACTGTGGCTGTAGCAGGAAGGCAAGGAGTTGGAGGATGATGTCGATAGCCAAATCCTCATCAAACTTAACATTAAGTTTGAGAAGACGATCAACATATCTTTGCATTCTTTGCAAATGAGCAGTTAGGGATTCTCCCCTCCCCATCTTAGCGGTGATCATGTTGGTGATGATCTCATAGCGCTCTTGCCTCGCGCTCTGGTGGTACCTGTCCAGCAAATCTTGATGCATCTCATATGGATACATGTCCTCATAGGACTTTTGGAGTTCGAGGTTCATGGTGGCCAACATGATGCAATGAACTTTCGTTGCATCACGCTCGTGGGCCTCAAAGGCGGCCATCTTTCAGGAGTAGCTTCTTCTGGGTTGATCCTTTCAAGCTTCTCGTCTAGGACATATTCTTTGTCCTCATAACGAGTTATCATGCGAATATATCTCATCCACTCGTTGAAGTTCGAGCCATCAAATGTCACTTTTTGACACAGGTTCATCAACGAGAATGACCCAGAAGTGTTGTTGTTTGCGTTTGCGTTTGAAATCTGAAATAGAAAGGAACAAAGTTTGATTAGAATGAATCCCTAATTAAACACCCACATGAGAAATTAGGGCTAGGATCCAACAACATTATTTACAACTTAGAAAAGGGATGCCGTAATCTAAAAGTAAATAATTTGAAGGTAAGTGAATGACGATTCACTAATTTTCACCATGAAAAACGAAAGAGGTTAAGTTTTGAATGTATTTGAAAATTCCTAGATTTCTTTTGAGATTCATTGAACATTTCAATGGCATGTTTAAATCTCGATATGCACTTCAAATTTGCGACTGGGATGCCGAGGATCGCAAACAAGTTTGTGAATAACCATGCGAATCATCATGGTGCACTCAATGTCTTCATCACCTAATCAATGTGCTGGTTAGCCACACACGCTCCATTGATCTATGATAAGACATCGAGCCACCCTTTGTCACCAATGTCAATCCCAAATTGTGTGCTGGTTAACCACGCACGCTCCACTAACGTTTGACAGGGGTACAAAGTGTAATTCCATGGAATAGCATCATTTTCACATTTTACCCTAAAGTAACTAAGAGTGGGAATTTGTAAAACAATGTAGCTACTTTAATATTTCCATTATACTTATAATGAGGAATTAAGTGCCCTATCCTATCCGTTCGGCTAACGACCCTCCACCAGTCAAGCAAGCAGTAGATGTGAGTGTACATCCATTAAGCGCCATTTTATAGGCAGCAACCTTATACCCACCTTATAGACTGGCTTCGTGAATGAGGCCTACTAGCGATAAGACTAGCTTATTCTTATACATATATATAATAATTAATCTTATAATATCATAATTGTATAAGGGTGTATTTTAAAACATTTTAAATACTAGTGTCTTTGTTGCGTTTAAAATTTTCGAAAATTAGACAATTTAATTTAAAATTTTAAAACCAAAAATCTTTGATTTAATAATTATCAAAATTAAACAATTAATTTAAATTATTAATCATGAAGGACTATCATAAAATTAAATAATTAATTTTATGATAATCCTTTTTATCCCCTAGATTTCGAAATTTATGGAAAGGATAATTCAAGATCTTCAATTATCTAGTTTAAACAATTAAGTTGATAATCACAAAGATGGCATTATCCAAATCCCTAAAATTTTTGGGATCTTGTCTTGGGGGGCAAGGGATTTTCGAAATCCCTAGGGTTTCATAACCCTAATTTCGAAATTTGCCAGGCTAGTAAAAAGGGTTTAAGAACCCTACAAAAAATCGCCAACTAGGGTTTCTTAACCCTATTTTCGAAAAACACCAAGCCTTAGGGTTTACTTGCCATAAACCCTAATTTGTCAAATTCATAATATGTATCAAATCAAATTGAAAACAAAAACCAAAGGCTCTGATACCACTGATAGGTTTATACAAACAATTCCTATGTGTGCATACAACCCTAATTGGATCTATGTTTTCACTATAAGACATACAACTACATGAACCAAAATAAACCCTGCATGCTTCTATTATTTTCGAAAAAACATATAGAAGTGTAGTAGACATCCCTTTGTTGTTATATTGGAATAACAACTAGTTTCCTTGATCTCTTGAACTCTGAAAGCAAGCACCACCCATTATAGTGCCTCTAATGGTTACAACACCTTGAAGCAAGAAGAAGGCAATTAAGAGAGCGAGGGGAAGGATGCTAATTTCGGCCTAGGGTTTCCCTTGAATCAAGTAGCCTAAAATGAAGCATAGGGCATCTCTTTCTACTGTAGGGTGCTAGTGTTCAGTCTAAACCCTAATGGATAGCTTAGCCACCATGCAGCCTAAGGAACCTTCTGGAATGAGGCCCTTGGACGAAAATATGATGATCCCTCATCATAATTTCGTTCCCCCTTAGTCCATTAGGTTTCCCAGCCCAAAAACCAACTATCACACATTGACGTTTATCCCCCTTTATTTAATTAATCTCTTTTAGTCACCAAATAATTCCTAATTAATTTATGACTAATACTAATTAAATAAATATGATTCTCCTTTAATATT